GATCCAAGAAGGATTCATGTTCAATCCATACATTAAAAAACATAAAGTTTACTCTCACTTGCTGATATCCTTGATGAAGCATCAACTGCATTGGACTGTGATCTGAAACCCCTGGATTACCATATTTTAATATGACATGCCCCCATTTATCCATCCATGCATCATTCCCAAAAGCTCTATCAATCCTGCTTGAGATTCTTGCATTACCACTCTGCTTGTTGTTCCATGTATAATAATTACCTTTCCATTGCAACTCATTAATTCCCATAACCTTGACACAGTTTGAAAAATCTTTTATCTCATTTTCATTGATAGGAGCTCCAGCTAACCTATCTTTAGGGGACATAATAGCACTAAAGTTCCAGCAATAAGCCAAGGAAGTATAACACTTTGACCCATCTTGTTCATATCATCGCACATACTCTTCCTCTGCTCTATGGTATTAAACCCATACACTACTGTGAGGTTGAATTGATACCCTTTGCTTCTTTCTTGTATATAACAATGTATCATCTGAGCTGAACTTGCAATCAGCTTAACATCATACCAGCTATCATCCCATATAATCCATATATTTACAATATCTTTATAGTTATTGAAACACTTCCACCCTGCAGCTATGCTATTAATTGTTGCACTAGTATTGTTCTCTTTCACTCTAGTTTCAATTAAGCCAGCCAAAGAAACTTTATTATTCTGCAAAAACTTCTTTAATTCCTTCTGCTTATATCTCTTATTCATGCGTCTAACATTCCAAAAGCTCCACTTCATTAACAAGATTTTGAAGTTCCCCCCTATCCACAGGCAATGACACCAACATACTATTCATAAGACTCTCAAAACCATTCCTTATATGTATAGCTGATAACATTGGAAAGTTTGACAGGCTAAACTCCAACTGAGTACTCCCAGTATTAGGCCTTAAGCTTATTTCAGGTGTATGGATTACCTGATCATTTCTTAGCTCATTCTCCTCCTCTTGTACAGTAACAGGTTCATCTTCCTTGATCTCTTCCCCCTTTCTCTGTTCCCCTATCTTCTCCTGTTGTTGAATAGGCCCTTTGTATTGCCAAGCCTGTGTAACTTTTTTCCAGGGCCTTCTCTTCTTTGGCTGATCCTCCTTTGTTGTCTCTTGACATTGATGCCCAATCCTCTGGCATTTATCACAGTATAATGGCTTCCATTCCATCACAACATCTTGCATAAATGTTCTACCATTTGGATCCTTGACTGCTATCTTCTCTGGCACAGGTTTAGTAACATTAACCTCAATCAACATTCTAGCATAGGAAATTCTAGTCTGTTTAGTGGTACACTCATCAGCAAATAGAGGCACTCATATTGCACTAGCTATGCGACTCAGAGATCCAGCTCCCCAACAGTTTAAAGGAAACTTTGGAAAGTTTGCCCATAGAGGTATTTCAGTTAAAAACTCCTTCCCAAATTCAAACTCAGCACTCCATTGCTTTAATATAATAGGCCTATTACTAATCGTATATGGCCCTGAATACAGCACTTCATTCATGTCATTCAAGCTCTTAAACTTGATTATGTAGTATCCTTCATCATGAAGAAATACCTCAGGTTTCTCCCCTTTCACCCAGTTCATCATTATATACCTATTCAAAGTATTAAATCCAGGACATTCACCAATTACATATGCTATTAGAGCATATTTCCACTTTTGTTCTTCAATCTGTACTTCAGTACCTTCTAGTTGCACCATAGTTTGCCCATTCACTATTTGTGGAGGATAGTACGTCAAGTTCATTCCATTGTTAGCTATTCAATTATTTTTAAACATGTTAACCCAAGGTTCCTTACTCTTCTCCTCTTCTACTTCTCCCTTACTATCAGTTACTGTTTCATTACCTACCATCTTGTTCTCATCTTCAGATTGATCTAGATCTGAGTTACTATGATCTTCATCTTCCTCCTTTGAATAGTTTACGTTCAGATTTCTTGTAGTTTTAGAAGTCACAGAAAGCCCAGCTTCATAGCTTCCTTCCTCAGTTGGAGGTTATTCTAGCTGATTCTCCACATTTTCTTCCACTCGAACTCCCACTGTGCTTCCAACTGTCAATATTGTTGTTTTGCGTCCTCGTCCTCGTCCTCTACCTCTTCCTCTCGCCATTTTCCACCTTCACTACGCACGTTAGTTAACCTGCGCCGAGAGCATTTGGAGAGGATGATCTTTTTTATTATTATTATTCTCATTATTTTTATTATTATTATTGTTGTTGTTATTATTATTATTATTATTATTATTATTATTACTGTAATTGTTATTATTATTATCACTATCATTATTTTCATTATTATTATTATTATTATCATTATTATTATTATTATCATTATCATTATTATTATTATTATTATTATTAGATTATTATTCTTATTCTTATTATCATTATTATTATTATCATTAATATTATTATTATTATTATTATTATTTATTATTATTATTATTATTATTATCATTATTATTATGATTATGATTATTATTATGATTATCATTATCATTATTATTATTATTATTATTATTATTATCGTTATTATTATTAATATTATTCTTATTATAATTATTGTTATAATTATAATTATAATAATTATAATTATTACAATAATAATTATTATTATAATTATCATTATTATTATAATTATAATTATAATTATCATTATTATTATTATTATCATTATTATTAT